GGCGCCCGGAGCGGGCGGGGAGGGCTCCGCCGGGTCCGCCCGCGTCGCCCTGGATCCCGCCGCTCCGCTCGACTGGAGGAAAGACACCTGTAGCCAGTGTCGCTGGGAACTCTTCTCTGCCCGTCGCCGGCGATTGCAGAATTTGGGTTTCGGGTTTGCACAATAGCGTTGGCTTTAGGAGCCGAGAGACAGGTGCCGGGCGCGACTGGGTGCGGAGGCACCGCGGGCGGAGGCAAAGTCCCCGGGCCTCGAGCCCCACGTGCAAGGCGCCGGGCGGGGGAAGCCGGCGGCGCGCATCTCGGGTGGCCCCTCTCCGACCGCAGTGGCTGGAGCGCGTTACCTTGGCTTAGCCCCTGCCATCTGGGCCCTCTCCCTGCCGGCCCTTTGTGCCTCCTAATCCCCGGACGCAGGAAGCCGGCGGGAGGGACTTCGGCCTCGGGGCCTTTCTCCTGGGAGAAAGGGGCTTTTTGGACACCTTTAGGCGACAGTGCTGAGACCCTCTTTTCCACGACGACTGGGCGGGGTTGCACTGTGGTACGTTGGACTTAGGAAGAGTGAAAAGTTAAGTCTTGCTAAAACGAGGTTGTAAAGTTTGCTCCCGCCAGAGGGTTGAGCTTTGGGTGTGGGGAGAACCGACTGTAACCTGGAGAGCCCCGGTGTGCTCCCCTGAGGCTCTCACCTGCCGCAGGTGAGCGTTGGGCTAGGTGGGCGGGGCTGAGGCCCGGTGCCCCTTCCCGCGGGGATCCAGGTGCAGGTGCTGGGAGTCTAACTTGGGCTCCAGAGACCTTCTGCAGCGTTTACAACGCAAGGACCTGCCATAGTGTGAGAGGGAATTCGGAGCTGGGAGGGAATGGGTGTGTCCAGACTGGAAACCTCAGGTGGGGAGATCAGCACTGCTCGGGTGGGGTAGAGCTGTGCCCAGCTCTGGAAGGTCAAGGTCAGAGGTGGCTTTTGAGGAAGAAGGTCTGGGTGTGTGTGAGCTCAGGGTACCTGGAGAAGTGTCCAACTTTTCTATTTTATGGAAGGGAAACTTGGGTTTGCTTTTCTTGGACTGAAAACAAGTTGTGAGGGCTCTGACTAGGACTCCCTCCTGCTCCCCACCCCCAGTCAGAACCCTGTGTCTGGGGCACTGGTCTCCAGGGTCTGGGGCATTCATTCCCTCCTGCTCCTCCTGCAGGCCATGGAGTGTCCCCTTTGAAGGTAGAGTAATATAATTTTAATTACTTGGTAACTTAGTACTTAGTAACTTTTTAATATACAATAGCAGTTTTTAAAAGCTTGTAATCCCAGATGAACCCTGTTGGTTTAAAATTAAAAGTAAAAATGGCACCAGTAGTTGGAGTCCATGGTGGAGGAGTGGAGTGTTTCAAAAAGTGCAGGAGGGAATCTCGCTCTTGCCTCATGGGAAGTGGTCCTCCAGGCTCCTTGTCTCCGGGACATCAGTCAGTCTGATGAGTTCTTCTGAGTTCTGGTTGCCTGACCTGGGCTGGATCACTTAATCTAGCTAAGCCTCAGTGAGGTTTCACGCCTTTTGGGTGTGCCTGGTGGGGGGTAAGGGAATTTGGCTTGTCTGCCCAGAAAGTAGCCAAGGGGTCACTTTATTTGAAGTGTCTGGGAGTCAGAGAACTTTCAAAATGACATCGATTCCTGTGAGTGGGGGGCAGAGGTAGGGCAGCGGCCTGTCCCCTCTCCTTATGCCCCAGCCTGAGACCTGAGACCCAGACACCCCACACCACCCCTGTCCTTGGCAGGCCCTCAGGTGGGGGTGGGATATAGGCCCTAATCTACGTTCTGCTGGGGGGCCACCTTCATTCTGAGCCTTACGCAGGGGGAGGAGCCCTATTGGGGGCAAGGGGCAGGGAGCACATTCTTGTGCTCTGCCAACCCAGGGGTTTTCTGCACACTCTCTAGTGCTTCCTTCCCATCTGGTTTAGAGGAGTGTCCTTTCTCCTGCCAGGA